GCACACCGAAGGCTCTGGGTTTGATCCTGAGTACTGCCCAGTGTGTGTGTGTGTGTGTGTGTGTGTGTGTGTGTGTGTGTGTGTGTGTGTGTGTGTGTGATGCCATCCCCAGCACCACAAAAATATGAAGGCTGATGGATGTGACTCATACTTTAACATTTTAGCTTCCTGAACTATTTCCTTTTAGACATTCAAGATTTGTAGAGATCACTTTTAAAGGTGACTATCTGAGGCTGAGGAGGTGGCTCAGTGGGTAAAGATACTTGCCACCAAGTCTGATGACCTGAGTTAGATCCATAGTAGAAGGGGAAAATTAACTCCCCAAAGTTGTCCTCTGACCTCCACACATGCCACAGGCATGACCAACTTCCACTCCCTCAGCATCCCAATAAGTACATTAATGTCGTTTAAAAGTTTTTTTGTTGTTGTTTTTTAATGCTGGGCAGTGGTGGCACACCTTTAATCCCAGCACTCAGAAGACAGAGGCAGTGGATCTTTGTGAGTTCAAGGGCAACCTGGTCTACAAAAAGAGAGTTCCAGGACAGCCAGGGCTATTACACAGAGAAACCCTGTCTCAAAAAAACAAAAAACAAAAAACAAAAAAAAAAAAAAAAGGAGATTTTAAGTGATAATCTTAATCCATTTGCCTCTTTCAACTGAGTATCTATCCAACTATAAGAGATAAAAGGCTTCTGCTAGATTATTTAACTTTCTAAATGAGTCTAGAAGGGTCTTAAAACCTGAGCCGTGAGGTGAGAGATTTGTCACAGATTAGACTGGGTAGGGCAATGGGCCCAGGTTCACAGAATTGTAGCAATTTTGAATTGGGGGCAAGACCTTAGAAGGCATGGAGCCAATGGTCTCCAAACCCGGTTCCTGGTGGGGCCAGAGCCACAGAAGGCATCTTAGCACCTGCTGGGACAGCAGGGTTCTGTGCCCACGACACTCAGCCAAAGCAGTTCTGTTCTGGTGGTTTGTACACTCGAGTTCTAAGGTTTTTTGTTTGTTTAAATTTTTTAATTACATAGTGTGTGTGTGTGTGTGTGTGTGTGTGTGTGTGTGTGTGTGTGTGTGTTCTCTCAAGTGTGTACAGGGATCAGGGAGGAACTTTGGGGAGTCAGTTCTTTCCTTCCACCACATGGATCCTGGGGATCCAACGCATCAGGTCGTCAGCTTGGCAGCAAGAGCCTTTATGCACTGAGCAATCTCATTGGCCCTTGGTTGCTTTGTGTACAGTTCTTCTAGGGAGACAGAAAGCCTATAAGCCACTCACCAGCTTCTGTATTTTATAAAGGGAGAAACTGAGACAAACTTTGGCTAGAGCATAGATTCCCCTGGGCCCCATCCCAATGCTTTCCCTGCCTGCTGCCCCTTCTCCTAACACTGGGCTTTTGCCAGGTCCTGGGAAGGCCAGGGAGGCTTTCTATCATCATCTGGTGGTGGAAAGGACTGGGTACAGGAAGCCCTGCTGTGGGCTCACAGTCCTAGTGAGGGTCACTGTCTTCCTGCTTCCTGATCAGAAGGAGTGACAAGGGGGTGTGGTAATGGAAAAGCGAAGGAAGAGCCTGAAGGCCCGTCCCAGAGGCACTGAGGAGGCACCTACCCTGATCTTGTCATTCTCCGTCTTGTCCTCCAAATCCTCATCAAACTCCTTCTGAGGGTAGAACTCGATGCCGTTTACTTCAAGCTCTTTGCGAACCTGGAGGAGGGGCAAGGCACTACAGTGTTGAGAATCCCTAGGCCCTGGGCAACAGAAAGATCCCAAGAAAAGACACCGCCCAGCCTGAGAGGAAAGAGGAGGAGTCTGTGAGAGCAGGCTCAGGCCTCTGGGATTTCAGACAAACAGCACAGCTGAGTCCCGCCATTAAGGCCAGCTTAAGTCTCTTCCTCCAGGATTTCTTCAGTGTTCTTTTCTTTTCATCCAATAAGTACTAGTGTGGGCCGTACTTTCAAGTCTTTCTAGTAACCCTACCATTGGAGAAGTAAGATCTCGGGTTCCCAGTGATGAGTATCTGGGAGCCTTTGCAGACAAATGTGGAGGGTGGGTCAGAGGCAGCCTGGAACTGCATGGACGAACCTTTGGCCCAGGAACTTCTAGCCCTTGCCTCCTGGATGGTTAAGTGGGAGGGAGTTAGGCTGGGAAACTGGAGCGGAGTGGAAGACATGGCAGGTAGGAAATGGCTTGGACCCAGAGGAGGGGAAGGAAGCCCTAGACAGGAAAAGGGCAGAGGGGTGGCTCACCCTCTGCTTGAATTCAGACTTCTCCTCCAGGGTCATGGTGTCAGCCTTGGCAATGACAGGGATGATGTTCACCACTTTGCTGAGATGTTTCATGAACTCAAGATCAAGAGGTCGTAAGCTGTGAGCCCAGAGGAGGCGGGAATGTCAGAGCCACCAACTCAGCCACTGCCCTCCCCACAGCGTCCTTGGGGGAGCACTGGTCTGGGGATCTAGCTGAGGCCACGCAGCTGCAGCCTCTCCTCTGGCACATGTCCACCGCTTCAGCACCCGCTGCGTGTCCCCAACTCTACCCTCAACCCATCAAACCAAGCGCTCCCTTTCCTTCCTCAGTTTCCATGTAAAGCATGTCTCTCCTCAAACCCCCTCAAATCATTCCATGACACCGTTTCTGACCTAGGAATTTCTTTCTTTGGGGGACATACATGGATGGCCATGACCAACTGAACTCTTCTTAACAGCCTCACCTTGGCCCCCACGTTCCATCCTGTAGAGCCAGGCTCTAGAGGCCTGGTCTGACTCTGCAGTCGAGGGGATTCATTGAGTCCCATTGTCTGATAGTTCCCACTAACTGTGGACCAAGGTCTCAGAAAAGCTAAAACTGTTGTTTTAGCCGAGGCAGGAAAATCTCAAATTCCAAGCCAGCCTGGGCTACAAAGTACGTACAAGGCAATTTTGGACAACTAAGTGAGACCTCATTTAAAAAAACAAAAACAAAAAGAGGGGCTGGAGAGATGGCTAAGCGTTTCAGAGCACTGACTGCTCTTCCAGAGGACTCGGGTTCAATTCCCAGCACCCACATGGCAGCTCACAACTGTCTGTAACTCCAAGACCTGACACCCTCACGCAGACATACATGCAAGCAAAACAGCAATGCACATAAAATTTTTAAAAAATCAAAAATAAATAAAAAGTGAAAGAGCTGGGCATGGTGACACATGCCAGCTCTTGGGAGGCAGAGGCAGGCAGAGCTCTGAGTTCAAGGCCAGCCTGGCCTACAGAGCGAGTTCCGAGACAGCCAGGGCTACACAGAGAAACCATGTCTCAATAAATAAATAAATAAATAAATAAATAAATAAATAAATAAATAAATAAATAAATAAATAAATAAATAAATAAATATTTTTTAAAAAGTAAAAAGAGGGCTGGAGTATATAGCTCAATGTTAGAGTGCTTACCTGGCATGTGTGAGACCCTGGGTTCAATTCCCAGTACTCAGTCTTAAAAATAAAACAAAACCAACAAAAAAGCCCTCATTTTATTGAGCTCCTAGGTCTGACCCACGTTTATTATTTCACAACCTCTATCACTCAATTTTGGCTGGGAACCCCTGGATCCTTCAAAATTCAGGGTCTACCTTGCTGTGTGTCATCCTCTCAAAAACTTAAGTTCTGACCCTACAGAGGGGCTTAGAGAGACACACCATCCTGTGGGAAGGTGGCTAGAAACACCACTGAGACCCCTGACCCCTGCCTGTTCCCACATTGCTCATCATGGGGCCCATCTGTTACTTACAAACTAAGTTCGCAGCACAGCCTTCATCTCTGGATGTCTGGCTCCTCCTGCTGGAATGGCCCCTGTCTAGATACCTACAACTAAGTTCCACATCTTGCCTAGATGCCAGCCCCCAGTCCAGCAGCCCTGATTCTCCCTGTGTTACCTTTCTTGCCTCCCCCACACCCCAAGCCTTGTCCAAAGCAAGTATCTGTTGAACAAATGAGGTACTGTCTGCTCAAGTTCTCTTTGCTGGTATAGTTAGGCTGTTCTGGGTACCAGTAAACAGTATGGGGGGCGGTGATGTGCTGGGTACCAGTAAACAGTACTGGGGGGCGGTGATGTGCTGGGTACCAGTAAACAGTATGGGGGGCGGTGATGTTCTAGGTACCAGTAAACAGTACCAGGGCCGGGGAGTGATGGTCAGCTTTACTCTTTCTTATGGAAAGCCTGGGGAACCCTAAGGTCACAGGGCTTTGACCTTCCAGCCATCTGACCCTCCCCAGCTAAGTCCAGGTAAGGATTCTCCAATCCTTGGCACAAACGACACAAACCGGAGCCAGGCCCGGTCGTAGGGGTGGGTCTGGTACGTACGAGTGTCCTGTGGGGGAGATGAAATAGAGGCAGCAGTGGACGCGGGTGTCGGGGATGCGCTTCTTCCTGGCGATGTTCACCTCTTCCTTCAGGAACTTCTCATACTGCTCATTGATGTATTTCTCAATGGGCTCCCAGCTGAGGGGTTGTGGGGAGACATGGATGGGATACATCAAGAGGACAGACTCAGGAGGGCCTCTCAGGCCCAGTCAGGTCCCAATCCCCTCACACCCATTTCACATCCCAGCCTCCCTTCTCTCCCCGATGACGGGTTCGCCCTCAGCCTCCCTGTGGATGGCTTTCCATGGATGGTTAGCACGGGTAGACTTCACCCAGGGGACCCAATCCAGTATGCAGGTCATTCTCAACGGGAACGAATCTGCACTGTGTCTTCCTAGCGGAGTATTTAGGAACAAGATCTCAGAGGCAGGCACACACCAGTTTTCATTGTTGATCTGGTCCCCGAAGCCTGGTGTGTCGATGACTGTCAGCTTCATTTTGACACCACCTTCTTCTATCACTGGAGAGAACAGAAAGAGCGCCACATAGGTCAATCCTACAGTTGACCCCAGGGGCCCTGCAGCCTGCTGGCCAGGAGCACCCATACTCTTAGAAGCAGCTAATAAATTAGCCAAGCCGTGGCCATCTCCCACTGAGCACTTTTACGAAGGCTCCTCCCTACACCTAGAAGACAGTGTCCTACTTCTTCCGTGTCTACTTCTGCCTGAATCCTGAGTTTTATCACCCAGTTCAAGACCCACCTCTCAGTTCTGCACACACACTCCCCCCCACTCCCACCTCACTATCTAGGCCTAGCAACGCACGGAGTTTGCACAATTTGGGGCTCACTTCCACTCTGTGCTTCCCTTTCACATCTTATTCCCCAGAGGCCCCCTTTCTCTTACTTGGCATCAGGGCCCCTCCAAAGGATGCCCACAGAGGATGCTGGCCTAGTCCTCACCATGCCCGATCGCTTTGATCTCTACAGTTTTAGGGATCTTCTCCTCCCGGTTCCAGCTGGAGGCCTTTCGGCTCACTTGGGACTTGAAGAGTGTGTTGACCAGCGTTGACTTGCCCAGTCCACTCTGGCCTGCAGCAAGGGAGGAGGAGACGGAGAAAGGGAGACAGGCCGCACATCTACCTCCTGAGCCGCAGAGCCCTCCTGTGAGCTTACAGGGCTCCGGAACTGTGATCCAAGCCCTATTTGAACACCCCTTGGGGATGAGCATTAGGTAGGAATGTCCAATGGAAAGGACCCTTGAGAAATGGCAGTTGGAGTCCATGTTCCTTCATGGACCCCAGGACCATTGGGAGAAGGTACAACTTGTACATTTGTGGTGTGTGTGAGATGCAGTTTTCTGATTTGGTCTGGCTTGTGTTTTTGTTCAGCTTAGCTTTTCCGTCTTTAATAACACTTAAAGTGAGAACAGGATTACTTTGTATGCAGATCCTGCCTCACGGTGCCCGAGCACTTCCCCATCTGTTAGTAAACTTGGTCTTTTTACTTTTTACTTTTGGTGCTGGGGACTGAAAACCAGGGCATTGTACTTCATTATCAGGCTCTTTAACACAGAACTAAATGCCCACCCCCACCCCCAAAATCACTCTTTGTATCACCCCTGTGCCTCTCACAGCAGAGCTACCTACCTCCCCTTGTTAAGATGTAACACGTGTGAGGGACACACAGATCAGGGCTCACATCCCAAGAACCATGCTTCATTTTTTTTTACGCTATTCATTCTGTGTATGTATATGTGTTATATGCTCATGTTATCTGTGTGTGCATGTGTGTATGTGTGTGGTATATGTGATGTGTGCATCTGTATATATGTGACGTGTGTATTATGTGGGATGTATGTATATGTGGTGTTTTCACTGCTTGCGGCTTGTCATGCTATCCCCTTAGGCCATCGTCTCTTTACAGATGGGTAAGGAAGGAGGGAACTGGCAGAGACCGGGAATGGTGAGGAGAAGCATTTTCTCATCCCACCTGAGGAACTGGCAGAAGCCACTGAAATCGTTATGTTAAGAAGGCTCTGCAGGAAAGAACATGCAAGTCGAGAGCTTCTCTGTGTGCGTGAGTAGAATGTAGATGGGGATTGCTAAGAGTTGCATTGGAGCAGTTCCCAGCCAGGATAGAAGTCTAAATTTATCCCGAGGTTAAAAGAGTTATGGAATGAGCATGGATGGCCCAATGAGTTCGGCATGCTGGGGAAGCCATTGAGTAGCTAGTGGACAATGAGTTGGAGAGGAAAGGAGATCGAGAGCCAGGAGGGTCAATGGCACCCCAGCTGGCACAGCCATAAGTGTCCATGAACCATCTACCATCTACTTCTGCTTTTTGTTTTGTTTTGTTTAGGGTTTTTTGTTGTTGTTGGTTTGGTTTGGTTTGGTTTTTGTTTTTTTCAAGACAAGGTTTCTCTATGCAACAGTCCTGGCTGTCCTAGAACTCACTCTATGAACCAGGCTGGCCACAAACTCACTGGGATCCACCTGCCTCTGCCTCCCAAGTGCTGGGACTAAAGGTGTGTGCCACCACCACCCAGCTTAAGAACTTCCGGTTCTTAAGCTAAGACTTTGGTACCAGAAAGTTAAAACATCCATGTCACCGAGCACACTGTCAGCTCAGCTGGTGTATTTGGAGCAAAACATCTGTGAATGAGTCTACCCTGGCCGAGGGTCTTACCCTTCTGCAGATCAGCACTGAGTCTGGCAGCTGCCGCTACCCAGGTGGGCTGGCCTAGGGTAGCGGTGTGGGGTGGGCAGAAGCTGACAGGCCTAGGAGATCTTTACAAGGTTAAAGGGACAGGGCTTGTTGATTAGATGGGGGAAGGAGGAGAGAGGAGGCTGCCTCACTCCATTTCCACACCCAGTGAACAACTCAGATGAGGCCAATGTCCCTTCCTGCTACATACTGTGACTCACGGATGCTACTCAGTGACTAAGACCCTGGAAAATCTTGAAGCTTTAAGGTGTGAACAATTAGACCATCTTTCACACCAGTCCTCTCACAGCTCTTGGAGATGGGAGAGGGCTGACGATGCCCATTCCACAAACCTAAAAGCCAGCTCAGAGTGATGACTTGGCCGCCTGTCTACATTCAGCTAGTGGCCAAGCCAGGCTGGCCATCCACCCAAATCTCTCCCATCCTTGAATCAGCCGGTTAGGAGGAAGGAAGCAGACCTTCGTGATCAGCATGATGAAATCCTCCCTCTTAGAAAGAGCTCACCCTAGAGAAGCCAGGTCATTCGGGGGAAAGAAATGGGATCCTTGGCGCTGCCCACCACTAGGCCTTCAGTGACCCCATGGCTTTCCATACCAACGACCATGATGTTGAAGTCAAAACCAGTCTTCATGGTTTTCTTGCGCATCTGTTCGATGATGGTGTCGATGCCGATGTAGCCTAGCAGGTTAGAGTTGATGCCGACCGGCTTCATGGGCACCGCCGGCTTAGGCCTGGGCTCAGGTACCAGCTCTGACATAGCTGCGTCCGTCCTGGCCTCTGGGAGCCCTGAAAAGCCAAGGTGGGAGGAATAGGCAGGGTGAGTGGCAGGAAAGCAGGGTTTTCGTGAAAGGCACCATAGTATTTGATACGGAGCCTTGGAGTTGGGACTGGAAGAGACCATAATATCATCCAGCCTGGGTCCTGAACTGTGTAGATGAAAAGCCCACTGATGCCCTGTGGGTGGGTGGGTGGGTGGGGGACTTGCCCAAGAACACTGTTTTAGGTCAGTTGCAAAACCTGTACCAGTACCAGGTTCTCCAGTTTGTTTATTATGTAAAGATCTACTTGTTTTTATCTTATGTGTATAAGTGTTTGCCTGAATGTAAGTATATGCACCATGTGTATTCAGTGTCCACAGAAGCCAGAAGAGGACACTGGATCATGCTAGAACTGGATTTACAAACCGCTGTGAGCCGCCATGCAAGTACTGGGGATCAAAGCCAGGTCCTCTACGAGAGCAGTAATCGTTCTTAACCACTGAGCCATCCCTCTAGCCCCAGCTGGGTTCTCCAGTTGCTGCTGGACACTTTCAAACACATCGCTGCTCCAAAGTACTGCATCTGCATATGCGATCCAGGGCCTCCTTCACCTTAGCTCTGCTGCTACCTGGATAACTATTGCAGCGGGGCTATCTTGTGTCTGCAGGATGGTTAATAGCACCCACCGTCTCTGCTAGTTTCCAGAAGGACCTCTCAGATGCAAGCACCAGAAGTCTCTCTACGGAGTACCAAATGTTTCTTGGCGGGGGCAACTCCACCTCAAAGGAGCACTGGTCTATCAAATGTCTCAGTTATTCAGACCTGCATCTTGCCTTGCCAAGTAAGGAACAAGGAAGCTCTAGGGTTCTAGGTCTACTGTTGATCAACTGTCAGTGGCCTCGGTTACTTGGTCTTTCGGAAGCAATCAGAATTGCCTTTCTTTGCAGAGCAAGCATGCCTCCACCCCCCGGCCCAGCCTCCCCTGTGCCGTGAGTTTCAAAGCTGGTGTGCCACAGAGGGTCTCCCAACACCTCCCGTGTGTGAAGCTTTGAGCCTGGGGAGCCAGCAAGGAAGGAATGATACCCGGTCCAGGACTCTTGCTCGCCTAAGATGGCGCTTTCATACTAGTAAGCAGCAGAAGGGGGAGGCTGAGGAAACAGCCCCCCCAAAGAAGGTCAAAGGTCCCCTTGGCAGACCAGGGGCATGTTCACACACAGGAGAGATGTGGCAGGTCACTGTCCAGCAGGGTACGTTCTAGGAGAGATCAACTTCATTTCCCTGTCTGGAAAATGGGTGTGGGGGTGAAGTGAAAAAGATCTCGGCGTGGCCGGGCGGCGATGGCGGCGCATGGCTTTAATCCCAGCACTCCAGAGGCAGAGCCAGGCGAATCTCCATGAGTTCAGGGCTAGCCTGGCCTACAGAGCGAGATCCAGGACAGGCACCAAAACTACACAGAGAAACCCTGTCTCGGGGGAAAAATAAAAGATCTCGGCTCTGCTATGTGTCAGCTAGTCCTTGCCCAGGCCACTTCCCTTCTCCGAGTCTGCTTCTTCCTCTGTACAATAGTAGGATCATGACTAAGGCTGTGGTGAGCATCACATGAGCTATGATGCTTATAAGCCCAGAGTCCAGCCTCACAGACCCATGCTCTCTTGCCCTTGCCTTTGTCTCCCCCACTCCCCCCACCCAGACAGGGTTTCACTGCATAGCCCCGACTGTCCTGGAACTCACTTGGTAGCCCAGGCTGGCCTCAAACTCACAGAGATCCGCCTGCCTCTGCCTCCCAAATGCTGGGATTAAAGGCGTGCGCCGCCACCACCGCCCAGCTACCTTTCACCTTTTCAAGTTCAGCTTTCTGGAGGGGGATTGAACCTGAGCACATGAAAGTATCTCTGAAGCGGAGGGTGCCCCGGTTCCTAATTTCACAAGCATATTCTTTACCGCCGTGCTCTCCGGGAGCCGTGCCGTTTTTAAAACCCTACGGTCCACGGTTACCACCCTGCGTCTCAGCCTTGTGAGGAGGGTTGATGGAACAGCAGATGGGCAGGAGGAAGTGGGAACATGTCTCCCTCCCCATTCCCAAGCCCAGCCAGGAGTCTGCTTCTGTTCCCCCACCACCTGGTCCTTCCCCTGGTCCTGGCAAGATGTTCTTTCCTGATGGAAAACTTTCCCGTGTTCCCCCTCAGGCACAGTTAAACCCAACAAAGCCTCAACACCTCCCCAGAGCCTGGCTCTGCTCCCTCTTGCTTCCCAGGAAGCTGCTGCCAACCCAAGTGGCTCCCGAGGGCAGCAGGATTGGCTCAGCCCCGTGACAGCTGACTCTGAACAGGCCGAGTCCGCTCCTCCACTCCACACACGGTCCACGTCCCCCTTGAGCACATCTGCCCTGGGAGCCAGTGCCCCGCTTCTCCTTCCTGCTGTTCTCACAGCCCGGCCCTTTTGGTTTCCTGCGTGCCCTGCCAGGCACATTTGGTACCCACAGCCTGTGTTGGGACATAAGCCACCTGGGCGGCAGGCGAAGGGACTTGTATATGCGGAGGCTGCAAATACTTATAAAGCATGTGTCCTCACCGTGGCCCACTCGGCTCTGTCTGTCCGACCCTGATGGAAGGAGGGAGCTGACCGGATGCCCACACAACTCCTAGAGTCTCTGGCTGGCCTGATGTAAGCCCAGGGAATGAGCGGCTCTCACTTGCATTCTCCCAAGAAGCCGTGTTAGCATCCATGATGAGGAAGGTACAGGGCACCTACTAGCAAGTCAGCCTCCTCCCGACCACATGCCAGTCACATGCCAGTCACAGGCTAACGGCCGCCACTGATCAAGCACCACAAATACCATAGACGTCACTGTGCCACAAGCTTTGCTGGAACACCTTGTACCCCCTCCTCAAGACCCCAGCTAAGTCACTTCCCAACTGATATGGATCCCGCGCCCTGTGTGCTGCCTCAGTGCCCTGCAGGTTCTACAGTACTTAGCATATCCATTCACTCCAGGTCATTCTAGACGCTGCCCATGGAAGCCTAACTAAACCAAGGGCTGCCTTACATGCCCAGGATATATTTGTATCCAAGACAAGGTCACTGCCCCCTGAGGACCCACTGTGGGTGAAGGTGCCTAACAAGTACACCAGGACCTCCAGGGTCCAGAGCAAATGCTGCTCTGGAGTTGGCCTCTGTGGCTCCACGCTCTTCTCCCCCCGAACCCCCCCAGGTCCCACCAGGCCATCCTTGGATGGGCAGCTGATACAGGCATGAGTCCTGGCTAGGTGACTCCTAAGAGAGGGGAATGTCCCTGCCTTCCTAAGTCATACAAAACATGTACTAAAGTCATACAAAAACATGAATGTAAATGACCTGTCACTGATGCTGCTTTCCAGCCCTCTTGGAGGTCGGAGCCATGCTTTATCGTTCTCTGTGCTCAGTGCACCCTAGCATATCATAGATACTCAGCGATGAATGAACAGATGGTGAATGAATGAATGAAAGCCCCACAAGGCAGGAGTCCCTGCAGACAACACTGCTTCCTGTCCAGAGCACCGGGACCCCACCCCCCACCTACAAATAGCTGTTGTGTGAGCCATGGTCAAGGTAGATAGGTACACCTACCTATAGAGACCTCCTCCATCCCCTGCATCCGAGATTGGCCTGGGGGCTTCCCAAGAGTGGGGAAAGAGTTCATAACTGCTCACAGCAGAATGCAGCTAGACGGCCCTTGGGGCCCCCTCCTAAGCTCCCAGCTCTCCTAGAGAGGGTTGCATCTGTCTGCAGCACCCCCTGCCAGGTACCACCTGCCACATCAGTGCTCCAGGAAGAGAGACAGTCCACCTGACTCAGCTCTGGCCCCACAGCACGGCCCACTCCATCCCTAAGGCAAGCAAGGATGTCATGCTTTCTCCTACAGGAAAATGAATGGCTTTGTCTTTGTCTGGTCCAGAGACCCCACCCCTCTGTTGGAAAGGTAGCAATAGAAGAAGGGGACCTTTCTAGAATGATACCTGCCTGCCTGCTTAGCTTAATGCTAGGCTATCTCTTCCTTCCCAAGCTGAGGGGGTCTCCTCCGACCCCTTGGTAACCAGCAGCTTTAAAAACCCCACCCCCACCGCAGACAGAGCCAATTCTAGTTCATCCCAGCTCCAGCCTCGGGCAGCCCAAAAAAAAAAAAAAAAAAAAAAAAAAAAAAAAAAAAAAAAAAAAAAAAAAAAAAAAAAAAAAAGGAAACAAGTCCTTCCCCATTAAAAGAAGCAAAGGGCCCTGGGACACCCCCCTCCCCCCATTCTAGTCAGGAAGCCAATGAGTTCCCTTGGAGACCACCAGCTGGTGCTTGTCTCTGCGCTTGGTCTCTATGTGGGGGAAGGGGACTGTCAGCGTACCGGTCTCTTACTGGTTGTAGGTGGTCTGGTACCCATGCTTGGAGTACATGCTGTGCATGTGTGTGCGTGTCCTGGTGTGCTCCAGCGGGGGCTTCCCCTAAGCATCTGGGTCTCCTCCATACCTCCCCAGGCTCCTGTGTATGCCTTTTCCCGAGACTATGCTTCCAAGTGTGTGCCACCTGGTGTGCGTGTGTCCATGCACATGTCACTGCACGTGGGGTCTTCAGCACAGCAAACCCTCCCTTTGGTAGCGCTTGGGGCCGTAGCCTCCTCCCGGCCGGTGCCAGGCGCCCAAGCGACAGCCCTACCTTTGGACATGAATCCTCCTTTGTCTCGGGTCCTCCGGGAGATGCTCAGGGCGCGGGGCTGCAAGGCTGAGCCGGGCGCGGGCTCCCTCTGGGCCAAGCGGCCCCTGCAGCCGGGCCTCGCCCCT